GATTCGAGGATATGTAACGAAACCGTTCTTTCAGGATATTAGTAATCTTTTAGCAAATTCGTCATCACAAAGTTGACCCAGATAATTACTTTAAAAACACCCCATTAACACTTGTCTGTTTATTGTTAATGATAATATAAAGTTTTGTTATTAACATCGTTCAATTCAAAGTTAGTAATATTTTGAGTGACATCTTTGTCTATGACTTGGTATATTACAGTCGTCACATAGAGAGAAGCATGATATATAGGGTTAGTTCCTCTGTTATTGAAGAAAGTAACACTACCATTAAGATAATCGTTATTGTTTGTTCTTTATCCTGCTGTTTAACATAGTTATATAAGTTGTCTACGAAACTGATTTTAAGTGGGTCTAAATTATAAAGCTGGGTAGTATCAGAATCAGGCACATAATTCAATATATTAGAGAGAGTATATTGGCTGAAGCTTTACAGTCACTACTAGCATAATCTTTATCATTTTCTGATCTACTATTACAATCATCAAGAACAATCAGTTTACCCATGTCTTTGTACTAACTTATCATTTTTTCCGCACTTGATAACATGTCATTCTAGCACCTTTCATAGAAATTACTACTTACAGGTGAGAAATACTCTCCAATCTAGATTTTCTTGAAATAAAATACGAAATAATTTCAGTAATATTATCGTTTTTGTATGTTCAATATCTTTACTATGATAGGCCATCGCCGACCTTATGATATAGCAATGCGACCATTTTCAAAGTACAGTCTATGAAAAATATAACTTTCAAACCCTACTAATTCGTCACCTTTATCGACCCAGCACTCGTATAAATATATAATATCATAATAATTTACGATGCAAAGTCCTGAGAGAAAACATTTCAGAAACACATCTTCAAAAGCTTCAATTGCAACTTATCCTGGTTCTATTCGACTATTCATTCTCTGAATCGTGTCCTCTAATGGTATAGTACCTTGCAAGACCACAAGAGCTCCTTGCAGACCTCTGAAACGTTGTCCGATATTGAGCCTTGACTGAATGAAAAGGCCATAAAGCAGTAGACTGTGACGAAAGCAAAAGTGACGATAGAGCCACCTTACCCAAGCGCACAAGTAAACATTTATTTATAGCACATATATAAGGTGTATCACACGTAAAAGGTGTAAGGTAATATGTAAACGATAGCAAAACAACGACAGAAGTACCTTTCAGCTGCATGAGAACCGAACAGTCAGCGTAACCTGTCCGTGTATGCCTTGTGCTGATACGTCATTAGATCTCAGAACTAAATTCAATGAAAAACATGGTATAAGCAAAGAAGGATCGTGACAGATGAAAACTGGCCCAACGCTATTGCACGTTCTTACAGTTTACCCAAACTCTTTGTTTGGTCAGGCATAGGAAGAAATTATTCCCGTTTTCTAGTTTTAGTACATGTGAACCCATACCGATTTAAAATTATTCAATAAAATGTTATCAACATACATTTTACTAATTTACAATTTGCAACCTTTTTGAAAGTCGGCGACTTCTCTATCAGTTTTATACTGTATAGATATGATTGTATGTATGTAGGTTTACACAGTGAAGACTATACATCTGTATTATCCGTCCCTGGTTTACGTTATGACGTCATTTGTATTATCATTATTTTGCGAATATGATACACATATTGATATTTCCCGTGAAATATCAGAAAATTATTCATTTGATTAATTCAGATTTTATAAGAGAAATCTTGTAACGTATAACGTCATAGGAAACATTTTCAATATGTTTTTGTTAGGTTAGATATATCAAAGTCCATGGTTTGAACAGTAGCGAGGATGTCTTTGAATATTTTCACTTACGTAGCATAGTCTCTTGATGAAGATCACCAAACCAAACGTTTGTATTTATCCATATTTACATAAGCTTGTGGTAGATTGGTTTGAATGTGAGGTGAGATGTAAAAAATCTAAATTTTGTTGCCGTTCAACTTGTCAACGACGTTTAAGTGGCACAACCTACTTCTTCCGGAATAATATGGCAGTTCAATCTAATTTTTGTTCATTAATTTTTTATGCTTAATGAGTATCTGTGGTAATGAACAGTAATTATAAAAATACCCGCATGCAGTTTTTACATTAGCTTAACTTTATTGGCTTATTTTCGCTATAGGTTATTTCCCCAGTGTATATATTAGATACACATTGATACAGGTACCGCACAGAAAATAAATAATGTATAACAAAAATCTTTAATAATTTTGTTATGAAATTCATGTATAAATAACGTTCAATGTGTCATATAATTCACACCTTGATATATCACTTTGGCATATACTTATGTACAGTAACAGTATGAACGCTATAAGTACATACAGTAATGTTAGTAATATTATCGTATCTATCAATCATCTCAACATATATCCAACAGCAACTTCTACGTTCTGCATGATGTTACCAGAAAATATGTTTGAGTAAATATTGCAACGGTGTACTCCAGGAAAACTTTATTTCCACAAAGAGACGAACATTATAGATGCACGCTGAGCCATCACGGAATTCAAATCCCATTATGAAAAAAAAAACATGATAGTTCAAAGACTACATGTACCACAACATTATTCTATAGAAATTCTACTTTCCATACATATATACATATATTTCAACGTAAAATCTAACTTATAACTTATTGATTGCAGGACCGTATTGATATTGGTTCAGTTGAGTGCATGGCAGTGCTACCTCATTTTTCTACCCATCTTATTTCTGTTTGTATATACCCGATGCTACAGGACTGACGCCAATGTTAGTTTCGCTTTATCGAATATATAAATTTTTGATACTAGCACTAATGTGGTAATCATGGCAAGAGTACACGTCCCTTGGAGTATTACATCTTGAAGTGAACATTTTACTCAACCTGTTGACAAGAACTCTAAGCAAGATGACAAAATGCTGACAATAAATACATACAAAATGTCAAAATTTCAAATTCTTACAAGTAAATATATCAAACACAAGATTAAAGATCGTGACCGTTTTATATGGTTGTGAAATATTAATTCTTCAAACTTTGTGGTATATGGAGAACTTGGTCGATACTCATTATAAATAGACATTTAGACGCGAAGGACGACATTCTTATCACTGATGGGGAAAACTGTCAAGCATTTTTATACCTTGATGCATCAACTTCAATTGTAAGGTCAACTGGCGTTCAAATGGCTGATTTTTGTGAAGTCTATTTCTAATAATAGTGGATTCAACTATGTATGGAATCAGCAACATATATGTACTGCAAATGTTATTTTTAGATGTGCTTTTATACAAAGATTAATTGGTCAACTTAATTAAAAAATGGTATTATGATATAAAAACTTCTCGTGGGTAAACCTACTCAAATTTTTAAAAGCAGATGGGAATAAGAAAGTTCTTTAAAATTATATCAAAAAAAAATGAGTAATGAATCCAATTTACAGGTATGCCTCGAAGAGAAATGTGTGCTGTGAATTGGTAAAAGAAATACGTCATCCGTGAAGATTATCACAAAAATACCAGTATAATTAAGATGAAGAGTATGTTTTCTCTTTGTAATGTTACACTTATTAAGAAAGTTGCCAAAATCTTATCAAACTTTTAAAAAATGATAATGAATAATAAGATATTTATGTATGTCTGTATGTATATACAATGTATGTACCTGTATTAAGTATGTGTGTATGTATGTACCTGTATTTATGTATGTATGTACCTGTATTTATGTATGTATGTATGTACCTGTATTTATGTCTGTATGTACCTGTATTTATGTGTGTATGTACCTGTATTTATGTCTGTATGTACCTGTATTTATGTGTGTATGTACCTGTATTTATGTGTGTATGTACATGTATTTATGTGTGTATGTACCTGTATTTATGTGTGTATGTACCTGTATTTATGTATGTATGTACCTGTATTTATGAATGTATGTACCTGTATTTATGTCTGTATGTACCTGTATTTATGTAATGTATGTATGTATGTATGTATGTATGTATGTATGTATGTATGTATGTATGTATGTATGTATGTATTTATGTATGTATGTATGTATGTATGTATTTATGTATGTATGTATGTATGTATGTATGTATGTATGTATGTATGTATGTATGTATGTATGTATGTATGTATGTATGTATGTATGTATGTATGTATGTACCTGTATTTATGTATGTACCTGTATTTATGTATGTACCTGTATTTATGTATGTAACTATTAGTATGATTTGTGTCTAATCTATATTATGTATTTGTTGACTGGCACGGATTGTGTGTCAGGAGGGATATTAAATTACTGAATTGAATTGAACCTAGACGACCGAGGTTCGATTTCCGGAACGGGCAGTGTAAAGATATGGGGTCACCTGCCCGACCACGTTGATTTGTCCGGGTACTCCGGTTTCCTCTCCCGTCCGCTCGGGTAATCGAACCTTGGACGTCTAGGTGAAAAGCAAGTGTGTAACCACTGCGCCATCCGACCTCTCATAAAAAGAGTCGTATGTAAATCGAAAACAGAAAATCTCCTTTATCATGATAAAGGAGTTTGATCCAGGTAAAACAAATAACAAATAACAAATCTCTTTTTCACGTTCATATATTGTTGTAGAGGTATGTTTCTCAGTACTTCGATTAAAACAAAGGAAAGCGCGTTCTTCCTGTTTTGTCCTTCCTTGTGTAACTACTGATTTAAGGAATGAGGAAATAACTGGTTACCTCCCTTTAATAATCAATAAAGTCTCTCCGGAAGTTATAACGTATCGTTATAATAACATATTATAGTAATATTCATTTATATAGTTATATATCAACATCTCAGAAACTATCATATTCCCAAGTTAAATACATTTAAAACCTGTTAATTATCTAAAAGGTAGTTAAGGTAAAAGTACTGGATCATAAAAATGACGGCAATATGATTTAGAATTTCAATTTAGCAACAGAACTATATAAGAATTACTGATCTTAAGTTTGTTATTAAGTCAGTTGGTTTTTCCTTGTAGATTAGCATTATGGTCAACTTTGATTCCTTCCCAAGTCTTACCATCGTCTCTCTGTCGAAATATTACCTGCATTGGAAAAAAGAAGTTCAAAACCCAAAAATCGCCAAAAACAGAACGGAAATTACGATTAATACTATTGAAGTTCCGGACAGGTACAAATTTTGCCACCTCATATAGTGTTTTTCCTCTGAAAATAATGGCGATTTGTAAATTGAAATAGAAGAAACATATCACCCCCAACAAGAACTCCAGGTAGATTTGTTGGATCATAACACACACGTGTAAGGACATGGCGTCAACCGTTCCGTACAGCCAGCGGTACAACGCAACTGGAGGAATAAAATCTGTCCATGCGTAGCTGTACGGATAATAAAACACTTGCAGGTATTTAAACTGGAGACATCCACCTAATAAGCCAATAACAGTGACATAAAAAAGTAATATAACGAAATATCTCTGGTTTTTAAATCCAATACAATTCCCAAGTATGTAGCAGTGATGGTCACGCTTCAGAATACACATCTTACATATATTGCAGTGATGAGTGCGAGGCGGTTTGTAGATTTTACAAATATCGCAATATTTCCATACAAATCCGGAATCGTCAATCTCCTCCGATTCAGTCATTGTAATAGCACTTCCGTTCTGGTAAAGGAGAGTAACAAAATGTTCGGGCGGGTTCTCCCATCGGTCGCTCAATCCCTGTATATCGGGCCGATCTTTCGTGTTAGAAATGCTTGTATCATAAAGAATTGTACCGAAGTAGTTAGCTACACACTGTATGGCCAAATATGTGGTCAGAACTTTGAGGTAATAATGTGTCCAGTCGTCGTATTCTTCAAACAGATAGGGAATTATGTAACAATGAAACATAAACAATTGTGCGGGTATCTGAAGTATCAAAACTCGCACCCACTTCTGAGCAGATAATTTGATACGATTGTCAACCTCCTGGTCGTTGTAGCGATGTCGAATTTTTTCCATCAATGTCCGGGGTTTCTGTTGGTCGTTGATATCCAAAATCACATCGTTCGCCATTCTGGATCTAAAAAAATAAAGAAGTGTTGATTTACTTCAATAAAGTCAAACATTATATAATGGCACGCATTTCAAGAAATTTTAAGTAATCTTTAGCACCACGATATATGTGGGCTCGAGAAATCGCCACACTCCCTTAACCCTTAAGAGGTGTCGGTCTTTACGCAAAGTTGGGAACTCCGGAGATCGATTTGAAAATTGAGATTTCTACTATACTGTTTGTTTTGAAAAGATTTATTAAGGTTTTTTTATTTTTCAAAGAAAAATTGTATTTAAAGACAGCAACATATTATTTAATTATAATTGATACAGTATTTCAATTCAAAATATTCCATAACACAATCATTTACAGAAAATATCTATTTATGCGTTTTAATTAGCACGATTCTAGATAATCATACTAATCAGATATCAAAAGAGATACAATATGCATTCTCTAGCATTTGAAACAACATGAAACGTAGAAATACGTTTCCGATTTTTACCTTACATAGTTGATTTTCAAGATTAGGTTAAAAAATAAGATTAAATTATGTTGACGGGCTAATATATTCACTACATTGTATATCAATATATTGGACTTGAAAAAAAAAATCACGGACTTGTTGCTTGAAAATTAAGTAGACGGATTGATGTTGCAACAACCAAGCAAATGGATTGCATAAATAAATTGACTCCATGACTGCTATTTATAAATGTAACTCGTAAATCGTAATGAGAAATAAAATATACAAGTTCAATGGATTCGAGATTTGCTCTATGATAGGTATTTGTATTTGATAGCAGGATTTCCATACTAGAGAAAATATCTTTTTTTTAAAAAATGGGGTTCTCATTTGAGGAATCACTGGCATGTCCTCCGAAATAACGAAATAATAAAATGTTGTTTTTTTTTATTTATAAGATATTGTTGACCTGAATTGTAACACTCTGAGTTTTATCAAAACCCTTGAAGATGGTTGTAATTTGTTTATGATTTTGAACATGGATATTTATGAAATCATTCATATTCGAAATAAGTCCGATATGTTATGTACCGTATCATTATGGGCGAGTAGATGTGTAACCTACATGTAGGCTACAGCAGATACCTATATAACCGTGGCTGCACGGATCTCCGAGTCCAAGTCGGATAAAATCGCTCATCCATGACTGACCCCATTCTACCTGTGCTCTCCATTGCTTACGAATAGACTAGCGCTAAGGGGACGTAACCCATGATATCGCGTAGAAATAAATATTGTTGCAAATTAACCAAATAGCTTCAAAATACTGCAATATTTAAGTTTTTTCGTGAAATTATTGCTACGTAATTTATTATTTTAAACATGAATACCCTCTCGACTGGTTGGTTTTATCAGCTGCATTGAATTTAAAGTGAAATTGAGTACCATGTATGTAGATGAGTGTATACCTCACAGACACCTTTATGGACCCGATATAACAAATGCTCGAAAGGGTGGATGGTGGGCCCGGGGTTCGATCCCCCGCATCTCCACAAACTTCTGTCCTAGGCTCGGTTATAACCGGAACAAGGACGTTAAGCTCAAAAAAAGTGGATGGTGGGAGTGTGCCCACCCTGACAACCCGTGTAGTGGGGCCCCCCCCCCCTTTCATCCGATTGACAGCGCAGTGTAGGGAAACTTGCATCCGATTCTCGTGATTAGAAGGTGTTGTATTCATACAGTTTCCCATAACCACAGACGAAGGCTGAGAAGTGCAAATCTTGGCTCCGATTGTGGGGACGGCCTAAATATCAACTTAACGAGGAGATCCTGCGGTGTCCTGTTAGAGGAAAGCATTTTTCACAGACTCACGTGTACAATATTTAAATGAACGTCGGTATTTATTATTTTTTACTCAAAATTTTGCTAGCATAAGTTTTATAATCCTCTCTCATGTGCTAATAAGCCGCATGTTAATGTGTGTATTTATAAACAAGGTTGATTTCGGACGGACCATTTTTCGGATATTTATTGACTGAAGGGAAATGAAATTATCTGGACATGTTTCTGCTCTTTTACAAAGTTTTACTGTGTGAATGGTCTGTGATAATATGAGTGTTTACTGTTATAGTTAAACAGTTGAAATAAAAATCTTAAAGTCTTCCAATAAGGTATTAATATTCTTGATGAAATAAAACCCATTAACATGATATACATAAAAAACAGTTTTTAGAATTTAATGCCAGTTTAGAAAGTAACTATTATATCAGTGATGTGTCTTGGTGGCCATTTTATAAAGAATTTATATGACTGTAAAAGCAATCTTGTTTTGTTTGTTTCTGTGGGGTTTACCACTTCATTCCCATTTGAAACAGAGGTGAGAGGTGAATTTTCACGGGAAAGAAATTGCTGCTGCCGGGATTCAAACCCACAACCCTCTGCACCCTTCTGGTCGTGTAGCCTATGCTCTACCAACTGAGCTAACCCTGCATGGCGACTGTTTTTATTTTTATTTCATTAATTCTGCTCCATAGAATACTAGCACACCACTTGACCTTTGTTTTGTTTTTAATTATTAGCAAAAATGTAAAGAGGAAAAAAACATAATCAGATTCAACATTGTGTGGTGTTTAAAGGGTATCTTCAGCGAAAAATATTTTTTATGTATGAAAATATAGGTTACGGTGACCACTTTACAAGAAATCAAAATTTTCAAAGATGAACCATAAAAGCGAAAGTGACTGTTAAAATGGCAAAATTATCGATTTCACGGAAACAGCCGAGTTAAAAACTGAAAACCCAATAAGTGACCAGTGACGTCACTGTGTACCAAAAGAGACTGAAATCGACTCGATTTAACATGGCGAGTATAGGGAAATGAACGTACGTGACTACTTAAATGGACTGTTTTAAGTCATTCAAGGAGGAAAAGGGCTAAAATATATATACATAATTTTAGGTTATTAAATTCCCTAACGACCGGTATATTTCTTTATTTCATTATTGCACTGCTACCACATATAAACTTAGTTTAAAAAGTTAAAATTTGTGTAACATTTTACTCAAAATTTCAAAGTCCTTATATGGTCATATTCTTTTTGTTTTTGCACTTATATATATTTCAAGGTATCAGAATTTACACACTTGCTACATATACTATGATTTATTGACAAATAATCTTCAAAAATGATTGATTATTAAAAATGTAATTCATGCAACCTAAATGCCTTTTATAATGAAATAGTTGTCATATACCATTACACACAAATGCAACTAAAATGATGACGATGATGATGATGATGATGATGATGATGATGATGATGATGATACGTTGTTGGCAAATTTATTATGTATATATAGCGTAATAGATAGTAAAAAGACCTAACAACAATAATAGACCTTTTTAAGCATTTCAACAGGCAAACTCACGTCGGTAAAACTATTATTATCATGTACGACAAAACTCCGGAATAGGTGCTGTATAATAGTATTGTTATCTAGTTATATTTATCATTGTGATTATTATTCAACCAAAAGATGGTACAGAACAAATGCAACATACATATAATATTGCAGAACAAAAGCATGCCGTATCTGACATGTACAGTGGGATTCCTCGACCCGTTTGGATGTTGTGTTGTCAAACAACACCGGCCTATGAGCCATGTCATTCTTCCCTGACTGGGGGAAACATGGCCATTAATTTCAACTGTATCATCGTCTCTTGTTTGAAAGGACGCTCGTTGAAAGTATGACCCAGACACGAAACCGTTCGCTTTTAATGTTTTCTTTAACGATACGTTAGAAGTATAATTAAGTCCGATATCATCGGGAATAACGTTCAATACTATGGCATTTTGTTTGACGGAGATGGTGAGAGTAGCCTCCCTTTATTTTCGGTAGACATGGTTATTTTTGCGTTGTCGATCGGACGACTCGACTAGCGCTAAAGGGACTTAACCCATGGTATCCCGTAGAAATAAATATTGTTGCAAATTAACCAAATAGCTTCAAAATACTGCAATATTTAAGTTTTTCGTGAAATTATTGCTACGTAATTTATTATTTTAAACATGAATACCCTCTCGACAGGTTAGTTTTATTAGCTGCATTGAATTTAAAGTGAAACTGTGTACCATGTATGTAAATGAGTGTTATACCCCACAGGCACCTTTATGGACTTAATATAAGAAATGCTCGAAAGGGTGGATGGTGGGTTATAACCGGACCAAGGACGTTAAGCTCCAAGAAAAAGAAAAGAAGAAGTGAATAGTGGGAGTGTGTCTACTCCAACAACATGTGTTGTGGGCTTCAAGCGCCACATACAAGCTCGCCTGCACTTTCACCCTTACTCCACTCGTCAGTGATATTAAGGGGTAAAGTTTTAAAGCCTAAAACTCGACTACACAATCCAAAATGATCGAAAAACACTGGATGACTGTCCCTGGTGTTAAACTTCCAGTGTGAATTCTTATAGCATAAATAATACGTTTAACAGGCTTCTATTTTACTTTCCAACGAAACATTGTCATTTCAAACTCTACAAGTAATAGGTCTAGAATCAACGTTACGACAGTACAGTGGTGATATCCCTTCTCTGAGAATGCTCATGTCGTTTTTTTTTTCTTCTTTTACTGAAGGTATTTTTCTATTTCATTCCGAAAGGAAACATTCAAATATCAAACAATTAAATTGTTGGAAACGAAGATCCATGACTAGCCCCATTCTACATGTTGGCTCTCGTGCCTACGTCTCGATAAGCGCTAAGGGGACATATTCCATGGTATCCCGTAGAAATAGCTGCATATGTATTCAAGTCAGCCAAGCCCCGGTTACACAAATCCTCCTTAACTTAATACAATATTAACTAAAAATAAAAAAGCATTACGTAAATTAAGGCAAAATATGTATATAAGGAAATTTTCTCAACCTACGTCATCCTTTCTATGGGCTTTCCTGATTAGTGTTTAGATCCCGGTTGTTGTTAGATCTATCGAAATCGGTTTTCAGCAAACACGTGTTCAACCTATAAAACTCATTAATTTTCCTATCCTAATCCATAAATTGTAATTTGTATCGCTAATATGGTTTTAGTATAGTATTAATCTAAAAACACGTAACGTTTTATAATCATAACACCCATAGCTTTTGACTTATTCACTTGTCAAGGGGTTCATAGCGAATGCAGTCACTGGGGGTATACAAAGATAACCCTTAGGTTAGCCAGGGACGTATATATTGTTAGCGGAGATGAGCGTTTGACTGAATCAGGACTACATATATTGCTTATTGTACTTCATGTTACACTACAAAAGATCTGGTGCAGTTTCATATTTGAGCATGTGAATTGTTTACTCTGTTTGAGACAAAAAATCTTCTATCTTTATTTAAGTCGTTATCAAACCTATCCACAGTAAAATAATACACGGATGCTTGAAATTCTCTCCCTTTTAACATTCCACAAACCAGAAATACAAATGGTTAACAAACTCGAATAATCACGTGACTGACATGACTACGGGCTTGGATCCAACACGAAGAAAATGCAAGAGAAAAAAAAAGATTAAGAGGAAGGAGACGAAATGCTAAAATTTCTATTTCTTCTGGTATGTAAAGCCTATGTAACTCCCTTTTACTTTTTATTCCTTCGCTTAGGATAAACTTCTCTGCTGACTGACCGGAAGTAGGACAATATAAGATTAATTACAACGTAATATATTGGACATTTGAGTTTTATTTACTTTCTTTTCCGTATTTCTGCCTCTAAGCTGAAAAGGATGCTTTATAGGTCGATTTGAAGAAATTGAGCTTGTGGACTACTTTTCTTGGCGGCGTGATTATGCTGGTGGTGTCAAAAAGTTCAACATTCTTCCGGTGCTAGTGCATTTCTCATAAAAGTATCTCTCTGGAAGTCTTTGGTAGATTTCATTTTTAAAAAGAATTATCACCACAAATAACAAATTTCAAATTGATGAACTCCGCTTCTGATTTTTTACGACAAGAAAACAAATACTTCAGCTCGTTTCTTGATCTTCCATAAAATGGCTATTTGGGTGAAAAATGCAAAAAAAATATGAATAAATGAGTAACATAGATAAAACACGTCAAACCGCTCTTTCCTAGTCATGAAATGTTATCCTCATTTTTCTATCAAAACAAAAAGTCTTTCAAAATTAAATACTAGAAAATGATGACATAAAAGATTTCAGTCATTTTTCAAAATTTTCACCTTTCG